TTTTCAGTCTCTTTCTTTGATAGTTCCAATATCAACCACATGGGGGCGCCACAATATCAAATAAGTAATGAAAAGGTAGCCATTGTTATTCTGCCTTTAGTTACGTTTAGATTTTTAAACTTTACCACTCCACTTCAAACCAAGTCGATGCTGATGTAAATTCTGTAAATAAATTCTGGTTGCACTTTGATCAAAAAAACACTTCCTTCTTCATACGCTGCCTCTAAGTACACATTGACATCAATGTTGATTATTCTGTATTTATTTTATGACTAAATGTGGTTAATCATGCTTCTACTGTATATAGCACATTCTGGTTATGTTGATCACTTTGTTATTGTTTGTATGTTAAGACAAAGATAGAATTTAGGGTTGTCAAAAGTATCGATACTCAAAAAGTATCGATACTGAAACGTTGTATCCGGATACAATACTCATTTTCAAAAGTATCGATACAGTGGCACCTAAGCAGTCATTCATCTAAAGTGCAGATTAGAGGAAAATGCACTTTCAGAACACTGTGTGATTGAATAATTCTGTGCACTTTTCAGTTTCAGACTTTTTTTTGTAAGATAATAACTGATCTCCTTTATTAAAGACTAATAAAAACATCAGAATAGCCCATAATGAAAACGACTTGCAGCTCATTTTGAATGTGTGTGGTCAACCACCACACTATCCCACACTGGAAAACAAATCCATTCAGACTTTTGTGCGAAATTTTTGTTTCACAACTTTCTCACTGATCAGATAAATGATCACTCAAGATATTGTAGGTGTTTTCCGGTATATTATTACATATTTTGCTTTTATATTCAAAATGAATTTTATTCGTAACCACATGGCAGATTAAGCAAAATAAGATTTGTTAGAGTAAAGTAGGAGAGCTTAAATCACAAACAGATGATGGGAACAAAGCCTTGTTTCTTTTTTTTCTTCAATAAACCTCACCCTGGAGAGCCTGTAATAAAGAACCAATTATTTTTCAAACTGGCTTCTTTCTGTCCAGAGACACATTGTTCACATTGTTCTACAAAAGAAGGATCTGTAAAGTGGTTTGTGCGTTTCTATGCAATATTGATTCTATAATTTATAAAACTACTTTTTGTTGAATTGCATATGCAGCTTTTTTTTTTTTTTTTTTTGGGGGGGGGGGGGTGGCATGGGGTACGGTATATCCATATAAACTTTGTACAGTACCTCTAGAGAATTAAATCATGATTAATACTCATGCTGATTTTTACAGAAAATAGAAAAATTTGCATTCTTTTTCAAGTAATCTCGCAGATCTTATCTGGTGTAAAGCCAGAACTTTCACTAGGTCATTATATCTATTATATATATTATATATAATTATATATAATATATATAATATAATTGAGTCTAAACCATTTAATTGTAGGCCTGGATGGATGATAAGGATTGTTCTTAATGAAGGTGAATCTCCACCCTTGTCTCAAGTACTTTGCCAACTCCCAAGAGTTTTTGTCACTGCATAAAATTAAAAACATACATGCAGCACGATGCTGCATGTATGTCTCTATATCCAACTGTTAATTGTCAAAAGATTCTCCACCTGGCCTGACTAATGCTATTTTCCCCAACTTTTCAGTTTTTCAACACCATGTCTTGGTAAATTTGTTGTTTTTAATCTTATTTTTACATTTTTAGATTGCTTTTGTACATCCAAACCATTCAAATTTTGTGTATTTCTTTTTATAACCAAACACTATCTCATGCTAATTACAATTTCAAATTTTAAGGACATGTAAATGATAGGTGCTTGAGCAGAAAACAATCCAACCTTCTCTCTTGTTTTTCTCTATTTAAACAACTTCCCCTCCTCGAGCAGCCAGCTTAATGTGGTGGAGGGGTTTTAGTGTCTGGATGATCCCAAAGGCTATATTGGTGTGGGCTCAAATGTTCCGAGTAGGTTCTCCCAAGGTTTACAGGCTCTGGGTGACATGTCAGACAAAGAGCAGTTGACAAAGCCCCCCATGATGAACAAAAAAATTGAGACACATTACATCACCTGGTTCAGCTGAGCCCCTCCCCATGATTCCATCATTCTGCTGGAGGACTTCAACACCCATGTAGGCAATGAAACTGACACCTGGAGGGGAGTGATCGAGAAGAACAGACCCCAGTTCTGAACCCAAGAGGTGTTTTATTAATAAACTTCTGAGCAAGTCACAGATTGTCCCTTAATGAATACCATGTTAAAATAAGGATACCCATCTATTGGTTGTCATCAAAGCCATTCAAAAAAAATGTCCACTGCCTCCGGAGGGGAAAGCAGTGCTTTCCTACCCTGTTTTCAGTGGGAGGGGGCAGTTGCTGACCCTGAAAGAGGACATCATTAGACGGTGGAAGGAATACTTTCCGGATCTCCTCAATCTTGGCTTCAGGTGTATGGAGTCAGGGGCTTTATAGTGTCTGTGCAAGTGGAGCAGGAGGCTGGTACGCATTGCCAGCATTAGGTTCGGATGTGTTCCAGGTGTTTGTTGGACTCCACCACCGCTGTTCATAACCTTTGTGCACAGAAGTTCTAGATGTAGCCAAACACCGGAGGGGGTCTGGTTTGGGAACCAGAGAATCTCGTCCCTGTTTTCTGCGCATGATGTGGTTCTGATGGCTCCCTCCTACCAAGTGTGAAGCAGCCGAAATGAGAATCAGCTCCTCCAAGTCCACGGCCATGGTTCTTGACCAGAAAATGATGGCCTGTCCTGTTCAGGTTGGAGTAGAGTCCCTGCCTAAAGTAGAGGAGTTAAAGCATCTTGGGTCCTGTTCACAAGTGACGGCAGAATAGAGCGGGAGATAGATAGACTGAACGGTGCGACTGCTGTTATCATGCAGACTCTGCACCAGTCTGTCATAGTGAAGAGAGTGCTTAGTAAAAAGGGCAAACCTCTTGATGTAGCAATCGCTCTACATTCCTTCCCTCACCTGTGGTCATGAAACCTGGATCATGACCAAAAGAACGAGTTGCCAGATACAAGCAGCTCAAATTAACTTTCTCTGCAAGGTGGCTGGGCACTCCCTTAGAGATAGGGTAAGGACCTCAGTTTTTCAGGGGAGACTCAGAGTAGAGCTGCTTCTCCTCCACATTGAAAGGAGTCAGCTGAGGGGGCTCGGAATTCTTTCCCGATGCCCCCTGGATGCCTTCCTTGGCAGGCGTTACAGGCACGTCACAACGGGAGGAGGTCCAGGGGAGAACCCAGGCCAGCTGAGAGACTATCCAGTCTTATCCCAGCATTCAGGCTTACCTCAGCAGAGCTGGAGGTGTCTGCAATGATGGAAGTCAGGTAGTCTCCCACTTTATCCAGGACTGCTGCATTCCTGGATAAAGTGGGAGATAAGTACGAGCCAAGTTAACTTCGGAATAAGCCTAAGTCGAGCTTCTCCTCTTAATGCATGCATGCTGTCTTCCATGGTTTTCTGGGGCACTGATAACATATACCAAATTTTTCTGATGTATTCTTTTTTGTTAAAGTTACGCACAACTTAAATTAGCATTTTACATTAAATCACAACAAATGCATTACAGTTTGTGGATCTTTTTACTTCATCCCATATTTCAGTGCCATCACAGATCAAAGTTAAACCTGAACCACAAGTTTCCGTTTAAATACCACAGCAACACAGCATTTCCCAGCTTCATGCTTAGCTCTTTGTTACACAATTTTATTCTTGACTTGCCAGTAGGAAACTTTGACAACAGTCAGTTGAACCGTAGGTGCTTTTTTAAGCGAGATATCACAATGTTTTTTTTTTTTTTTCCTTTTCGGAGACAGCTTATCTTTACTTGCTTCTGTGAAAGATTTTTTCATTAGGTTTGGCATCCCTTCCTCCTAGAAACCACTGTCTGTCTCTTCTAGCAGCTGTACATGGTAAACGTATAATTGCGGCTGACCACTTGTTCTTATGCAGCATTAAAAATTTTTTCACTTTATCTTTACCGGTATCTTGGACTGAATATTGTTTTTGAGGACAAACCCGCAATGGGTTTGTCTCTTTTAAGCATGCAGCCTGTTTTCTCTAAGGAAATCAAATTAAATTCCAGCTTTATTGTCCAATTTAAATTGTCATATCCAATATGAAATTTCATTTTATGTGACTTCCCTGTTGGTCTCAGTCTGAAAATGCTGTCTTTATCACTGCAGGAGTTTGGCACAAATCTTTACCAATTACTGTGCGGTATTTCTCAGGTCATATATTTTCCAGAAGGTGAAAATCATCTTTCGTGATGAACTGTATGGTCCTCAGCAGCTAAACCACAAGCAAGGAACTTGTGGGATTTAGAGCCTAAGCTGCAATCCATCTCAGAGTTATGTTGCTGACTTTATAATCTACGATGCATAGTGCTTCTCCTTGAAAAGATGTTCCATTTGGTAGGCTTTATACTGTAAGCATCGCACAGTTTTTGCATAACAAAAAGGTTTAAATCCTTAAGGTTAGTCTTAGAAATGTAAAAAGGAGAACTTCACACTATGCAGGAATTTGTTTAAGGTTAGAGAACAGAGAATATTCAGTGCCCATTTTGAGAATTTCTGATCACCTTAATCCCCTTGAAAGCATATTTTAAATATGTTTTATGAAACTGACCATAATAAAAGAAAAGAAGTACAGGACTGTATAGTTGAAGCAAAATTAAACATGTTTTTGCCCATAGAATCTGACAAATGTATGTTCTGCCTTTCTTTATTCTAATAGCTCTAAACAGAAGTAATTGTAGCCAACTGCTTTCAGAGGTAATCTAATTGGATAATTTTAGTCATAAATGCTAGATGTCTGTAAACATCTTGCAAGATTTTCTAGAGAAAAATAAACATGCTGCATCATGAAAACAAGGAATAAAGCAGAATGATCAGAGACTTTAAGAAATGCTAATTTGCAGTTTGGCATCGGCCATGTGGTCGAAGAGGAAGAAGGTGCGCTGGTGAAATAAGACCAGAACTAAATAGTTACGGCAATATACAAAACTGGATTTATGCAGGAATGCTGACACTGAACATGCCTCTGACCAGTGGTGGACAAAGTACTCAACAGTATTGCTTGAGTAAAAGTATTTACACTTAATGTCAAATCTTACTCAAATACAAGTTACTCAGTCAAACATCTACTGAAGTTAAAGTACTGAAGTTCTAGCATTTGAAAATACTTACGTTTTCAGGAGTACATGCAATTAAAAGTATGTAAATATTCAAAAAAGGCTAATTATTTTCTAATATAACAGAACCTCGTAACTTTCAGAAACCACCTGATGTTTTCCTGCATAGAGCCATCTGCAACTGATTCTACACCGCCTGAAAAGAACTTCAGCATAAAAAGGCCGCAAAAAATAAGGACAGCTAAGTTGATTGTTTTATTTAAAAACAAACCGAAAGAAAAAAAAGAGCCTCTTGATTCTCTTCACACTTTAATTATGGAATAGAGGTTTAGAGTTGACTATATTACCGCAAAGAAACCACAACTCTGATTTTAGAACTCATCCTCCAGAACAATTCGACACAACAACAACTAACGCCTTAATAAGATGTACAAACTACAAACAATATGTGCCCTGAGTTTCTCACATTTGTGGGACGTCATGCAAATCTCTAAAACAGTGGTGTCCACATTCAGTCCTAAGGTCTGCTGCAGTATCTGTTCAAAAAGCTTTTCAATAAAGAAAAAAACAGCAACAGCAGATTATAAAGCTAAGCTGAGCCAAAAGAAACAAATAACTAGCAGTTTCCCCTAAATGTACTGGAGTAGAAAGTACAATATTTTACTTTGAGATGTAGTGCAGTGAAAGATATCCGTGAGCCCCCAAAAATGACTCAAGTAAAGATACTAAAAAAAAATACTTAAGTACAGTAATTAAGTATTGTTACTTTGTTACTTTCCACTATTTTCTTTTGCAGGAAAAGAAAAGCTATTAAGAGAGAGAAGACAGTAGACATGAATACAAGACAAGAGCTGCCCCTCAAACAACAGATGTAATTTAGATGTTGGCTTTTAGGCTAAATCTGGTCAGTCCATTATAGTCTTGATTTAGCCCAGAAATCGTTGTTGAAAATTGGGCTGTGTTTGGTCAGTCTGATTTTGGAAGCCATTTGGCGTCATTTGGAAGTAAATCATGTTGTCTTTTCAATGTCTTCTCAGCTAATTTTTGCTCAGTGGGGTAGAAGGCGTCACAATGGGACAGAAGATCACCCTCAGTTAGGGCAACAACAGCCAGCGATTCAGAGAGTGGTTTAGATCAAGGGATGTTAAGAGCACATTCACAGTGTTAGTCCAGTCCAGGAATTGATACATGGAAGTGGGAAAGTGTATTTCATCACATTTTGCTTTCATACAAGATAGTTGCTATAACTGCTCAATAAGTTTTCAACCAGATTTTGAATGAAGAAGAAGGAAAAAGAAAAGTCAGTCTCATGAGGTTTCTTTTGTAACTTTGGTGTCAAATGTTCAAAATTTTGTGCACCTGTACATCCTTTTTTTCTCCCCCCCCCAGCTTTTTTTTATTGTCATTACACTGTCACAAGTAAAGAGCAACGAAATAAACTCTCTGCATTTAACCCATCTCCTTGAGGAGTAGTGGGCTGCCATTGTGGGGCACCCAGGGAGCAGTGTGGGGTTAAGGGTCTTTGTTCAGGGAGCCATAGTGGTAGTCCGTGGGAATGGGGCTCAAACTCAGAACCTAAGGATTCCAAGCTCTATGCCCTAACTACTAGGCCGCCACTCACGAAAGCAGGCATTAGTGTGAAGGGTGTTGCCTAAGGACCCACATTGGCAGCTCATTCCTCCCAGCTGGAGAGGAACCCAGGCTTCCTGTTTGCAGGACAGTTGACTTACCACTTGAGCTAACCAGCCACTAGCTGGATACATGGAGCCCCACATAGTATTTTCAAACAATTTTATTAGTTTTGCGCTGTTATTTATTTTCTTCTTCTGCTGCTGCTTAAATGTGTTATTCTTATATCAAACCATCTCTCTCTGCTTTCAGTATGCTGGGACCAGCAAAGTGTGTAAGGTATGGCTCTCCTGTGTGTTTCAGGGTTTGCTGATAGGTTTCCATTGTTGTAACCTGCAGTAGAAATCTGAGTCTGGTATAAAAGGATTCAAAAGGTCTGCTGGGAAAGCACTGTCGTATAGGATGGCTCAAAGTCTAGACATAGATCCACCTGAGAATTCCGGGAAAAACCTTAAAATCTCTATTCAAATATACCATCCAATATGTTTATCTTGGGCGATTTTCTAAAAAATGAGCAATGAACAAATTATTAGCATTTGACAAACCATCTGCCTTTTCATTTTCCAAATTATATGACTCCTTGTGTAGAACTATCACCTAAAATCCTGATTTAATAAACCTACAACTGTCATTTAATAGACTGGCACATATGGGACATCATTTTAGAATTCTGTTTAGCTTTCCATAACCAAACAACTTGAATATTTCTTCTAAAATAAGCTACAGACAAAGGATCTGGGCAGAACCATGTAAGCCTTACAAGGGAAAATTCTCTGTTGATCCCTTTATCCCTGAAGGGGACATAGTTTCATCATAATCAGACCAAGAGGGTTTACATGACTTTGGAATAAAATACATGAGTACCACCTGTTTATTGCTTCTCTGCTCCCTAACTTAGTAAAAATACCACACTATAATGAGCGTTAAAATCTCTTGGCACTTCAAACAAATATGTTTTCTAATAAAACATAAGAAAGCACAGCACAATAACAGGTCAAAGTGGGATCTGAAATTCCTCTGGAATGTGATGTATTCCTTAATGTTTCCTTGTTCTTGTTGAAGTTTGTTATGATGATTTTATTTTGCTACAAGGCCATACGTAAACGGCATAATTCGAGGGGGCAGCTGGTGTTTAATTGAACCTAATGTACTGTTTTATAAAGTATAAATGTATCTGACCTGTGAACAAATGCTGTGAAAAAAGGCAAGAGTAAAGGATTGTGTCAAGCTTACCTCAGTATCTAACATGTAAGATCAAATATTTAAGCTAATTATGAGTTCAATTACAAAAGACAAACACTTTAAAACCGTAAATGTGTTGCACAACTCAAGGATAAGGGAGAGATTTGTTAGAGATACTATTATGTTTACTACTTTCAGTTTCATTTTATTGCCTACAATTAGCGATGCCAAAACCAGTTTACCAAGGATATTTTATTACCTTTTTACTTAGTTGTGACTGCCCACTTATAGTAAATAACTAACAATAAACTCAAATTGCACAAGCAGATTTAATAGATCAGAATGCACAAGGTCTTTCACAGCATGCACACATCCTGAAACCGCTAAACCACACACAGCCAACTTTTCTGATAGCGCTCTGTCTCCACAACTCTGGTGAGGAGAAAGAAAACAGAATATGGTCTTAATTTATCTGGAATTCCTTCTGTTTCCCAGCTTGGGGATTGTGCCAGAGGACTTGGGTATGGCACAAAACCCTAGCCTTAGGAAATTTGGGAGGGGAGCAGAGGGCAGTCATGAGTCAAAAAAAATTTGGCTTTAGTGGATACTTTAGTAGGACAGTTAATTTATCCAATCCAGAGAGTAAGGATGTGAATTGCTTGAGATGTACATTATCTAAAATAAACTAAAAAAAATGAAGTCATAATTCTTTTCAGGAGGTAATGTGTTTGCTTCATGTCAATGTTCTGCATATGCATTTCTATGCTTGCTCATAGCTTTTGGTCTACTTCTTTCATCTTTACGTAATTATTTCCACAAGTTAGACAGTGCCTTCAGACATTGTTATTTTAGCAAATCCAAATAGCTCAGTAGATTTCCTCCTTGTTATTCTGTTTTAGGCCATCTGGCAACCTGACATCTAAGAGTAATAAACACCCAAAAGAGGCCATGCAACTTAAGGGAAATTTGAGTTGCAGGCTCAACAAGTGAAGTTTGCTTCGATAACACCGGTTTGATCGTGATAAGATGCCACCCGCAACTAAAACTAATTTGTTCTGTGCTCCAGACGTCAGTCACATTGCTACTGCTAGCACCTACATCACTGCCATTCGTTAAAAAGATATTCCTGTTTAATTGTTACAACATATTTGGCTCACAATGTTGTTGTTCTTTTTCCCTGCAAGGTTGAATCCATCTAGGGTTGTGTGTATGGCCTCATCCACCCTTTGCATTCCTCTTTCAATCAACATAACTCTGGCTGCCTGGGATGTGTTTTCAGGATCAGCACCCATGCAATATTAGCCCTTGATCAGAGTGTCAAAGCATAAGATAAACAGTGGTAATGTTTTAATTAGTATGTGTTGTTTGTGCACGCCACTTTACTTTATTAAGACCTTCTTAACAATGTTATTGGGATATTTAAAACATGCTTTATTTTTAAATGTAAATAAAAATGCACCCTGTTTTTTTTTTTAATGTGACAGTGCACATAAAGGTGAATAAAGTTTTTTTTTAAACTGTGTAACTAAGTAACATTTTGATAAGACACCCAGCTCAGAATAGCCACATACAACACAGAAAGATATGAGATTATATAGAGATTATATAGTGGACACCGATGAAAAAAATACACTATCAGAAGGGGAAAAATATCATAAATGTCACAGTCTTGTTTCTGTTATGCTTTCTTTTGAGTATTCAGTTTTACTTTGCTCAATGTTTTCTAGTTTTATTGGTTTAATTCTCATTTTGCTGTTTTTCTGGTTATATTTTAGGTTTTCAGGTTTTTACTTGTTGGAGGATAAAAAGTGCCAAAATTAAATAAATAAATACAGCATTAAATAAATAATTAAATGTGTCAATAATTAATTAAATGTGGAATTAAATAAATAAATGTGTCATTCATTAATTAAAACCACGTCACTAATATAAAGTGCCACAATTAAATAAATAAATACAGCGATAAACAATTAATTAAATGTGTAATTCATTAAATAAATAAGGAATTTAATATATAAATGTGTCATTAATTTAATAAAATACGTCTTCATTTTCTTTAAAAAATATATATAATTATTTCAGTGTGCATTTAATTATTTCATGGTCCTGTGTTGCAGTGCATCGAAACCATTAAAAGAATCTGTCAAACTCACCCATCAAAGTTAGGGGGCAGTTATCTAACATCTGATTTGTCACCCTGCACATTAAGGCGAAGCTAATCGATTACAGAGACTCGATTCGTCGTTAACCCCCCGTATTTATTTATTTCATTTCGGCACTTTTTATCCTCCATAGTTGCCCTCTGTTGCCCTCTAGTGCTCTCCTTTTTTCCTTGCTCCTTTCCAGTCTGCTATGTTCACACCTGCTCCCAATCTGCTCGTTAGTCCTCTCTTTGTTCAGTCTCTACTCCGTGTCACTGAGTCTTCCTCGTCGTGATTGTTTTCCCCCCTGATGTCTCCATGGTTTCTGGTTTGTTTGACTTTTTTTATGCTTGATTTTGGGATTTTTGGATTCCTGCCTCAGTTGTCTGTTAACATTTCACTAAATCAACAAGAAACTCACCACTGCCTACCTGCCTCTGCATTTGGGTCCTCAAACCACAATCAAACCCTGACAGTAAAGAGAAACTGGTAGATCAATTATTAGATGTACAATATTTTTGGCAAAAAATATCTAAAAGTAAATGTTGCATACTCTATAGATAAGGAGCAACTTGTGCCAGAGCCGTCTGTGAAATAGGCTGGTGGCGTAATTGATTGGCAGGAGGGTGTGGATTATTTTCCTCAGTCATTTATCTTTATGAAGTACTGCTTTCATGCTTTTTTATATTTGTTTTGGTTTTGTTCTTTTTTTAAATTTATCATTGGATATGATTATCAGTTTTCTATTGTAACATTTAATACAGAGATTCTTAAATAACAATAATATAAGAATATTAAAAATGGGAGTAAAATATGCAATTATAGTTTCCAGATTGGTAAACATATTTACCATTGGGTGGTATAACAGCATTCTATTAGTAATATAATGCATATAGTATGTTGCATTTCATAAGTTTTCAAAGGAAATGTAAATCAATTGAGATTTTAGGGGAAATTCCTTCAGAAAGTTTTTGTATTTGAAAGGCTACAAGAAATGATCTTGGGTGTTGGTTGAATACCAATTCCTGATGGTAAACCATGTGCATCACGACACATTCTAAAACTGCTTAAAAAAAACAACTTTCTTAAATGGACTATCTGAGAGATGTAGCAATAGACATACAGTAAAGTTGTTGTGCTCCATCTTTCCACAATACTGCAGGTTTATTGTTGTCAAAAATGTAATTTCAAAAAATTATTCAGAAGGTTTCATCTAGCGTAGTTATATCTACCGTTTATCAAAAAATCTCTGACACTTTGAAATACACTTATTAACACTTATTAAACCCCTATTCCAAATAAGGTTTATTAAAATATGCCCACTAGCAACTTTTTAAATTAAAATCACATAAGAACGGCTTAAACAATCCTGGACAGCAATAATACAAGTGCTTTCTCCACACAATTCCACACAAAAAGCCACTTCAATTTGAATTTCTTGTACTTGTTGAGCCCCTTGCTGTCATGCCGTGTGGCAAATGTATTTCAGCCTCCTTACATGTGGTACGCCAATCCTTCTGGCTTTCCTGATAATTGAATCCAACTTTTGCTCCACATGCCTAAGGCTTTTAGTGCCAGAGAAAGTAAGCAAACTGAGAGAGTTACTGAGCCACTTACAGGCTCCATTGTTGGCAGGGTGTTCTAACAATCCAGGTGTTTGAGGAGTTGTGTGTCAAACACAGCTAATGCAAACTATAAATCCTTTGACTGGTTGTTTCAGGTGTGCAAGAAAACATATCTGATTTGCAAATGTTTGTTGTTATGAAGAACTTATTCAAAGATTTCAGCAAACTTAAAACTGTGATAGTAATATAAGATAAGATTTAGTGTGAATTTGGACAAAAATCCTTTTTACCATCAGTTTTTTTTTTTTTTTTTTGGTAAACGAAAGAGTTTTTGTTATTTTTGCAGGCTTAGCAGTTTTATCTTCAAATTGTCCTTATTTCTGACATTTTAATTTATTTTAATTATTTTTATATGGTATAATTGGCAAGCTTTTAAGCACCTTGGTAATGTTCTGTTGTTGTTGCTGTAGAAAAAAGGATCTTATACAATATATCCTAAATCATATTGACAGAAGTTTGTTTGACATTTTGTTTTTACTTTTGACTCCCCCCTCACCCAGAAGCTCAAATCATGCCTAATTATAGGTTATAATTTAACATATGATTAATCCTGTGAATTATTTGATTGGATGGATTCTACATTCCAATGGATTACAAAAAAAGGAAATAAGCTTCATCTCTGTTACGCAGCCTCTGAGACATGTGTGTGTTACATGTGCTCCTCAGTGCTCTGTGGTGGAGGGGGTTGTGGGGTTCAGAGAGGTGTGGGCGTGTACCTTTCCCTCACAGCCCCACACCTTTGATTTTGCCTATTAGAAGTGACACAGAGGATCTTTGCTCCACTCTTTGCTGTATAATTTTACTGATTTAAGCAAGTTTATACCTAATATTAAAAGGGGGAGAATACTTACCTTTTTTTAGGTTTGGATTAATTATATTTTTTTAAGAAGGGAAAGCAAACACAGCAAGCTGAGATTTGCTCGGACCATGTGAGCTCTTCAAGGATTTACAAAGTTAATGGATGCAAAGTTGATCTTACTATGAGTCCTTTTTGGAGAGTTTGACGCTGCTACAATTCTGTGTTTTCACACAAGTATGCTTTTCAGAATACTGACTTTGACTCTGATTCTTCTGCAAGGTAAGTTTTGAAACTTGCGTTTGTGTAGACTGTTCTTGCTTTTGGATGTTGACTTATTTTCCCCCACATCTTCTTATTAAAGGCGCTTTGATGGCCTCTGTTAAATCCGAGAGCAGCCCCAGGATTGTTCCCATTAAAGCATCCGAAGCTTCCCAGCCATCTGAGACCTCGAGGTCCAGACAAAAGCGCTGCACCTGTTATTCCTACACGGACAAAGAGTGCGTCTATTACTGCCACCTGGATATCATCTGGATAAATACTCCTGAGTAAGACAGGCAACTTTTTCATCTGTTCACGACGCATGCATTTGCGTTCAAATGCTTGAGTGTAAAAGCCCCTTTTTATGATGCCACAAGTTTGTAAGGTTTTCTGCTTTGCATATTCAGAAACTGAAGGTTTTTTTATTTTTTTTTTTTTTCATTTTACTTTGCAAAATTACCAACGCCACTCCCAATTGGAATGATGGTGTCTATAATTTTTTTTTTTTAAGCCCTAACACATATTTCTAAGATATAAATGACAGAACTTTGACTAGGCCCTTCTATCAAAATAATGTGCCCAGACAGCTGCAGTTAATCTGGAGCACTGCTGCCCATGTTCTTAACAAAACCTAGAAAGTAGAGCACATTTCCCCAGTTTTGAATTCCTTACATTGACTTGCTGTTTCTCAGAGAATAGACTTTAATATACTTTGTAAATAACCCATTAATTTCCCCCTAAACAGATGGGACACTTCATTTTATAAGGCTGTTTTAAAAACATCTTTTAATTCCTTGTTTTTTGGCACATACATTTATTTTTAGTCTTTGGAACTTGTTTTTAAGTGCTTTCTTTAATCAATTTGTGCTTCTGCCGTACATGTTTCCCCCACGTTTTCTTTAGCATGTAAAGAACTTTGCCTTAAACTAAACTACTGCTCAGCACCTCTGCTAGTGTCTCATATCTTTTGCAGCCTCTGACCTATTTTATTCTTTGTCTTGTGTTTTGCTCTGTTTGTCTTCCTATACACTCTTACCACCTTTTCTTTTTCTGTTAAGAAAAGACATCTGCACAAAATGATGTCACCACCACCATTTTTCACATTTAGATAGTTATTTCAGGGTGCAGTGTTAGTTTTCTGTTACACATAAAAAAAGTTTCGTTTCATGGGACCAGACCACATTCTTCTTAATGGTTGCTGTGTCCCCTGAAAGGTTTCCTAAATCTTTTAGCTAATGACCCACAAAATGTGTAGGACCCAAATTAGATATGTATAAATCAACCATGTGTGTAATGATATTACTAAAGGCATCAACAACCAAAACAGTTAGTTATAGCTGTTTTTAAGTGATAATTTTATACCTTTTTAACCACTGTTAAATCTCTGGAGTGGATTTCAAGACCCCATACTGGTTGATCAAGGACACCAGGTGGGGTCACAACCTCAACTTTGAAAATCAACACCCCACCGAGCTTATGCCAAACTGCAATAAGACAGTTTTACACAGTTCTTTTAACATGGCTTTCCATCTGCCATTATTCCATAAAGTTCAAAGGTGAGGATTGAGAATTTGTCCTGTTAACAGATTCTACAAATTGGTAGTAATGGTCTCAGTATTCCCTCAGCTTGCTCATTAGGGTAAATGGCTTTTTTCCAGATGATGCAATAAAAGGTCCTCCATTTAATGTCACTGATAAAACTGATTGGCTTGTTGTTTTTTTCACCCTTTATATGTCTCTAAATGTTTCTCCCTAAAATCGATGTGATGACTTTATGAGGCTGTTTTTTATTATTATAATTTTTTTAAGTTAAGCGATCAGACTGAATTTATCCATTAGGTGACTTTTGAAACCAGTTGTTTGCCATAGATCTTATGTGGGAGTATAAGATAAAAAACAAGTTTAAGACATACATACATCTTAATTGTCTGATATATGTGAAAGGTAAATGAAAATGGAAACGAATATGTCGTTACATAACTTCATATAAGATATATTGAAGCCTGTTGTATCATTAAAAAAATTATTAATATCCATCAGTATGAATACTTTTGTGAAGGGAATAGAAATTCTGTTAAAGCATGATATGTGCAGTATAGATTATAAAAGCATCTCTAGACAAGATTCTGCTACACATCAACAAAAGGAGGGAAGGAATTGATCTGCTGATTGGCTTGTATTGTGTTTATGCAACTCAGAGAGTCATTTATTTTAAGGGAACACGCTGTTGTCGAGTCACGCCCTGCTATATTCCCCAAGGCTACGCAGTTTTGGTTCAAGTGATAACAAGCCCAGTAGAGACTACTCGTCTCCTCCTAGTTTAAATGCAGATGCTATGTCTTTCTGGTATTGTTTGTTGGAGCCTGCACCACAAAGACATTTCTGCTTGATTATTATGTGTTAGGGTTTATTCAATAGTTTGATTATACTCCTTGCCTTTTTTATTGTATTTCCACTTTGCAGGAGCCAAAATGAAGAAGATATGACTAATGTTCAGTTTGAGGGAACTAAATGTCTCTCAGAATTGTGACTACGTAAATAAATTATCTAAAAAATATGTATTAGCTAAGCTATAAAATATGAATTCAGCTAAACTAACTTTGGTAACCTTTTCCACTGTTTTAAGTTGCTGCTTAAAGTTTTTTTTTTTTATTCCTTTTCTTTTTCAGTGGGATTTATCAGTCAGTAATTCTTTTTAAAAGTGATTTTCAGAAATTAAGAACAGGATTGAATTAGAGGGTGTGCTGATACAACTTTTTCATTTCTGATACAATACTAATATTGCAGCTATTATTATTGATAAATACATTGATAAATTGACCTGATATCAGCATAAATTATCCATGCTTGCATTACCCATTTGCACCGTGGAATTTAGAAAAAGGCTTGATCAAGTGACATTGCTTAAATGGAGAAACAACAATACAATAGTAATTAATCAGTTGGTATTAATATTAATACCAATCAGTTGGTTACATAAACTTTTAACAGAAGCAGAGTGTTTCTATCAGTTTGCATACAGTATATTAGAAATTTCAGATGCTGATAATCCAATATTCTTTTCTTTGCTAATATTGGATGGATTTATGAATATTGGATGGAGGTGCATCCCTCAAGGAAATATAATTGACATATAATGAGTGAAACAAGGGTAAGCAAGGGCAAAAGGCACAGAAATATGTAGCTGAAAAGGGTGTGGTTGGTTTAAAAGCTTTAGACGATAGTTTTATGATAACAGTTTTTTGATTGACATAGAAGTAAAGTAGAAGGACAAGAATGTATTGTCAGATGCACTCTTAGTTTATACACATTGTGTGGTGGGAAACTTACTACACATTGATATTAAAGCATTTTCCTCACTGTCTGTGGTGGTAGCAGTATAATGCTGTGATATTTTCTTTAGCATAGGAAGGGAAGTTGGTCCATGTACCCCGGAAGATGGTTAGAAGGTAAGAGAGGCATTAGCATGAGAAGAAGAATCACCTTCTAGAGGGACAGATATTCTAAAAACACAGCAAGAGGTAGAATAGAATGCTTTAAGTCAAAGCATATTTACAGTATGTGTTAACACCTGTCTCTGCTGACGCAAGCCCAGAGGTCAAGTAACTGAACGCAAAAATTTAAATCAGTTTCTAATTTTACTTGCCATAATTTTGCTTGCACTTGGAAATTATATTACTCTGTTTATTAAGGTATTGGAAGAAGCCTTGCTATGTAAATGACATATAATCTTAGGCCCTTATCTTTAGAAGGTTTGCATGTCTTAAAATAAAGCAAACTTAAGCACTACAAGCACAGCAGCCACAAGACGGTTTTTACAATCTTCGATCACATCAAGCAAAGTGTACAGATACTTCTAAAACATATCGCTGGTCTCTATGTACAATAGCAGATGAAAGTCACAGAGTACCTTTGCATTATTTGCCCTGATAAGTTGGGGAGAAAAAATGTATATTTTAAGATGTTTTTAGTGAGAAAGTGCACCTCAAAATGCCCTCCTTATAATCAGTTAATCAGGTATATGATCCTACTGTTAAACATTCTGCTGTAGTTGTTCTAAACAGCAGCTTTAGCCCTGTAAACAGGGAACGTCTCACTGGGAATCCCCAGCATATCTCTCTTAAACTGGCCAATCACTCCATGATTACTTTAGCTTGGACAGTGAGACTGAATTACAGACAGTTTAATTCAGTGTAATTCAGTCTGGTAAACGACCGCTGACCAATCATAGTGCAGGAGGTGGGACTTTACGATGCATCAATCTTGGCGCCAGAATTACCCATAATACATCAGCACTTTTCTGCTTCCATAACAATAAGCTGGCATCTGCCGTGGAGCATTTGCAATGAAAATGAAGAACATAAGAGAGCAAAGCTTAGCTAGTCTCAGATGTTTTAGGCGAAACCGACAGATCATTCACTGGAGAGTTTTTTTCGATGGCTTGACACATATTCACAGACAAAAAAATTACAAAAACAGAGCTTGTCGCTTGGAGTTTTTGTGTCATATCTCTATCTGTGTGATTAGTTCTAACCTGATGAGGCTAACCCTGCTAGTCCTGCCTTTGAAATCAACCCCTATCAGCACTTTACTTGGCTAATACGGCTTGTATACATTGTGTCTGCTGCAGTTTAAACAGGGAGACAGTGGTTAAAGCATTTTTTGGTGGTACAACCTGCAAGCAGCAGAAAATTAAATCTAATCAATTTTTCCAGCATGTTTTCATATTTGAAATTAAAGAGGTGTTGGAGTTTTCCAATGGTACCGCCACCTGTGGCCTTCTGACCCAATATAAATTCGGAAAAATAGGCTACAGGCTTATAGAAGCATCAGTGCTGAACGTCTGAGGTGTCAGTCTGCTCATCATTTTAATCGTAAAGGGTCAAATAAAAAGGCTAATTTAAATATATTTTTGGGTAAAAACATACATAATATCTCTTTTATGTTGGTTTCAATTATTCTGTAGGAGTGATAATTGGGTGGATGCATCGACTGTCACCTAGCCAGTTCCCAGATCAGTTCATTTTGTTAAGATGCAAAAAGTCAGATTTTGTAACTCTAGCATGTGATTTGCAATTGCTTGATTTCAGGGACACTACATACAGGAGAATATTGGGATAAGACGATGCAGAATGTGAAATTTTCCAGATTTAGGTTTGGAGGGGTTGCAACGTTTTATCAAGTAGCCCGGATCATAGGCCATGAGTGGGTTTTAATTTTTCCAGGTTGTTTATTTGACAGTAAAAGCCGAAGTTGAGTTCATGTGTCGGCCGATGAGTCCACTTTTGCATGCAACACACACACACCGCCATGCAGGCACGCACATTCCTGACAGGGGGGGGGGATTTTTGAGTTGTCCAGGTGTGAGGAGACTCAATTTAATTTGTCGGTGAATGCCTTACCCGATCACTCTTGACACCACACAAAGTGGGATTATCTCTGTTTAACAGACCTGATTATCTTGCTTTGTGAGCTCTCGTTTATTGGTGGCAAGAGGGACTTTTTGTCTCCTATATTCATTGACGGGTTGTGTGCAATGCACGATTATGTTTAATTAAATTAGTATGGGCTTAATTTCTTTTGCAATTATTGGGGCAAGCCACAATTTAAAGTCGAGGGTGTAGGTAAATGTGGCTGTTTAGAGCATGGTCTGTTGTAAATCTGACCCAGGCTTCACTCTCAAAGACATGGGGGTTGTCAGTCGGCGGACAAACAACTCATGTTTTATACTTGATTTTTTATATTCAAATTTAACTGCAGTTATTTATGTCATATCATAGTTTTTTGGGGTGTGATTTTTGCTCTGTTAAAACATGCATTTGAATCCCTTAAAGTAACAGATGTATTTAAAATGGACTTAAACAGAAAGATGACATATGTCGAAACGAGGATTAAGTGTTTTCAACTTAAAGGCATGCATATCACAGATTAGAAGCAATACATTACAATTTAAACTCTAAAACACCCTTTTGTCAGTTTTGACACCTTAGTACCACATTCCAAGCGAAAAGTCATGAAAGCATAATTTTTTTTTTCCTTCCTGTCTTGTAGTGCCAAGATTGCTGCAGGCTATCTCAGATAAACAACTCAATTTATTACTTCAAAGCATGTCAGGACAAACTGACATATTTTAAATACCAAATGAAGTAATGAAATGGAACAAAACAAATTCAACAGAAGAGGAGAAAAAAAACATTTTATATATTGTGGGACACAATATAGTAGACCTTTAAAACCTATAACAAGAATCAATAAGTATTTTTTTTTGTTGTTGTAGTCAATAGATAACATATTTTTGGCTCCATGCAGATAAGTAATAAAACCTTTGTACTCCAGGAAAAGGAAGAACCCAGTATGTTACCTCCCTTCCACTGTCTTGTAAAGTTTCAATGGGTTCAATAAAATTTGGTCCTGTAACAACCAAAAACATAGGTTTCTTTCCTTTGGATTATGATGGGAATGTGACCATGACTATCAGAATTGTGCATAATTGTGTAGAAAGCAAAGCGTAAAACATTTTTTAGATTATTTTCTAAATAAAAACCTGGAAAGTGTAGTGGACCGTTGTGTTTAGCTCCTTTGTACCCAAACACTGTTCATCTGCCAGTCTTTTACTTACTTTATCCAACTTTGAACCCACAGAAGTGCATATTTTTTTTGCAAAAAAGATCAAAATAATAATCTTTGGCTGCACCATTTTAACACGTTTGTATAGTTTGTATTGTTTTAGCTCTGTATGGTAAGCATTGCTGCCTTGCTGAAAGGTAAATAATTTAATACAAAATAATATTTTGCTTTTCTAGATCAACTATATACATTGGGCCCTAATGGAGCTACTGTATCTCAATGTTGCAATGCTAATCTTGACATTTTCCGGCTAACGTTTATTAATATATGGCCTAAAAACAACTGAGTGCTGACTCCTGTGGGTTAAAACATGGCAACTGCATTTAAATTTTTCTGTAGGTTAAAACTATTGGCTTGGTACATGTGTACACCACAACCCTGTGCTCAGATGTAATGGTTTGTTCATCTTAGGAACTCCGAACTGGAGAGTGGCAGTGCAGCAATATCTGAGGCGATAGTATTCCTGTTTACCTCATGTCGGAGGTCATATCTCTGTTGTTCAAATATGGCAACTGTTGTAACCTGAACAATGCTCTGTGTGGTGTTGGGCACACATGAATTGATTATTATTTTTCTGGGGGGGGTGTTATCACATACCTGTAATCAGCATAATTTTAGGTACTTAGATTATTTTGTCATATCAAATTCATAGTTACTCTTCCTTGTTCTGCCCACATTTCAGCTTTACCCCTCCACTCATTCCCACAGTTTGTCCTGCCCCTCAGTGTCCCTTGGTATTACCCAATTTGTCTGGAGTTGAGCAGTTTTAGTTGAACTTTGTCTCAATCTTTTGCAGCCTCCAAACCTTCCCCCCCCCCCCTGTAGTTAATTGTTAAATGCCTTTTCATAAAGCATCTTTTCGGGGTAGAGTACTTGAGTACACTTTACATTAAAATCAGTCATTTACTCACATATTCACACACTGATGGTGGTAAGCTACAGTGTAGTCACAGCTGCCTTAGGGCAGCACTGATGGAAGCAAGACACCACCTGGCCTTTGTAGGGCAGTGTACAGAATTAAACATTGTTCTGTTATTTCTGTTGTTCATTTTCAAGAAAAATATCCTCAGCAAAATATGGTGATGGTATCCTAATATACAGGAAGATTTACGAATATACAGTATGGTGTTTGTTTTCGACTACACAGTATTTTAGGGCCCTGTCACACCTTGAAGATTTAGCTAGTGTATGCCTGCCATCTCAGAATCTCCTAAAATGCTTGCATACGCTGAACCTTCTATGTATTTTATTCAATGTTGGGAGTATACAGAACTTATGTCCAACAACAACTTATGCTTACGCACAGCAGCGTAATGCCCATGAAAAAGCTGCTCCGCCTCAGGCGATGATACTCCCCCCCCCCTCCCAGCTTATGCCAACGATCAGATAACTTACCAGTAACTTATGGCCCAGGTATGAGCATACGCTGGGATACATTTGCCAGATTTTTTGGTATATCAGGCATACGCTGGTCTAAATGTCAAGGTGTGACAGGGGCTTTACAAAAAAGTCAGGAACTTCCTCCACATGTTTGCTGTGCCCACTGCATGATCTGTAGCAAAATGCCATGTTTTCATGGCTTCCTTTCTAAATTTACTCTTGTTTTAGTACTTTTATTAACATTTACTCAGCAACTGTCACAGTCTTGGTTTTGTTATGTTTATTTAGAGTATTCAGTTTTACTTTGCTCCTTGTTTTAGTGTTTAATTATTATTTTGTTTTTCTTGTTAGTTCCTGTCTTCCAGGTTTTCCATTTGTTGTCCTCTGCTGCCCTCTTGTGTCCTCTTTCCCTTGCTCTGTTTTCTGCTCTGTCCTCACCTGTTTCCAATCCTCTCGTTAGCCCTCTCTTTGTCTCTGTCCCCTTTAAAAGCCCTCCCTCTTCAGTTCCTGTTTGCTGGATCCTTGTCTAACGTCTGTCTGCTTACCTCGTCTCTCCCTGGCTCCTAGAGTTTGGTTTCCCTTGATGTCTCCTTGGTTCTGGTTTGTCATTTTTGTTGGATTTTTTGATTCCTGCCTCTGTACCTGTGGACCTCATTAAACCCACCTAAATTCATCTCTGCCTACTTGCCTCTGCATTTGGGTCCTCAATCCAACACCAAACCGTGACAGCAACTGCCTGGTTTAAAGATTCTCCTACATAAAGTATTGATCTCTGCAGCTCCTCCTAACTCAGCTTTTTGACAAATGAAATCAAATCACGCACAATAGGACATAATTCATTAATAATATGTAATCTCTTGAAATCAAATAGTTTTAGTGTTTGTTTTTTTAGGACTTTTGGAGTTTATGGGTACTAAATACAAATCTGCACCACTATTTCCAGGTTTTGATTTGTCCAACAACTTAAAAAAACATGCATCACTTAATGTCTAATAAGGATGCGCTTATTATTGATGAATCCTAATAAAATGCAAAATCCAACATTGTATATAAAGTTGAAAGGGTGTGATAACATTTGGATGACAGTAGAAAACACAGTGTAGTTACTTTTTTGTCATACTTACTGTACAGAACTTTAGTACTTGGAAATTATTTTAACTATAGTGTTGTAGAAGTGTAGCACCCCTTACCTTTTCCTTCTCTCTTACAGTAGCATCTTCAATTTAATTTGTTCCTATACTGAATCTCTGGTGCACAGCTGCCAATCTAAACCAATTAGATAGAGGGTTAAAGAGTATTTTACCCTGAGGACAATCAGATACACAGTTGCAAACAGGCAGACTGAAATGGCAAGCAATGTGAAGTGGAAGCCACAGGCAGCATGTATTTTACACTGCAGGTATTCAGTAAGACCCAGGCAGTCTGACATATTCTGACAAGTCAAGGAGGGAAAGCTATTCATCTGTCAATTAATATTTTATTTCAAATGACAAATGTAGCCTCCTTCCTCACAAGTCTCCCTGTAAAGCCCCTGCTGCGATACTCAGAGCACATTGTATTTCCTTCTTTGACCTTAAAGATCTCACACGTCAAAACACTTGGACAATTTTACTTTTCTTTGAAAAAAAAATATAATTCACAGATGGTTGAAAACAGATGAGACAAAAGACAGAAAAATGAGCGGCTGACAGCATCAGCATTGCAATCCAGATGGGGGGATTGGCGTGAACAGATGATATAGTCAAGGACTTTCTGAATTACTGTTTTAAAATTGATGGATACACATTATATGCCAGTTTGTTTTTCACCCGTTTCTCTGGTATGGCTGCAAGTTTTTACTTGACATGTTATTTGTGGTAGTTGACCAAAGGTGTTATAAAAGGTGCTTAAAATGATCAAAGACAATACATTGATCATCAGTTATTTTATAGGGAAAACCTCATTGTATCACAGAGTTAATCATGATTTTGTTTAGAACACATACTGCAAAATTTTGATCTCTATTTAAAAACTTATATCATTAGAACATTGCTCCTTCAGTGCCACTAAATCCAGATTTCTGTTTGCACTTTATCTTAGGCGCACTGTGCCTTATGGTATGTCTAACTACAGAGGGCCAAAGAGAAGGAGACGTGATGCTACTGCAATAGTGGCTAAAGGTGATCAGCCTCAGATGCGACGCTGCATATGTGCTGTGACTGATGCAGACCCTGGGTGCAGAAACTTTTGCCACTCAAGGTAAGCATGTTTTCAAATGGTAAAACACTAAATCGACTGACATGGATCTATGTAATATGAAATAGGAGTAAATGATGGTGTTTACACCAGATGTCCATCATTATCCTAAACTTATAATGGAAAAAAAAAAAAAACCTTAAATCTGACTAAATTCATTCATGACCTAATTACACTAAGCAGTCTTTTATACGTAAAAAAAATAAATAAATAAATAAATTAAAAATTGCCTATGTAACATGATATATTTTTGAAACTTCCTTTTAACATTAGTCAATGATGAAAACATATTTCATACTCCTGAACTATCTTTGTCATATTTCATTTCAGCTCTAGCTATATGACAATATAAGAACCCCGAGCCTTAGATTACTGTTCAATAAGTATCTTAGGTATGCTTTTAATAACACTGATATTTTTTCCAGGATAAAGCATTACTGTAATTGGGCTTTTGGTTTCTTATCCTAAACATATTGTTGGCCTGAATCCACAGTAAATTTAAACTCTTGGCACTGACTTTAAACAACTATATTAAAAAAAAAAAAAAAAAGAAAAGCCAGTCTTTGTTGCTGTTTGGTAAACGGAACCAGCCCTTTTATCTTTGCTTTGGAGTGTGTGACCTAAACAGCGGAATGATAGCTGCTTTAAGGTCTCTGGTTAAAAATAAATGTATGCCAGTGTCCTACATGACCTGTAACCCTGTTGTTATATCTGTTTTCATAATTAAATGAGATTTATTTTAATAATACAGAGATTTTCATTATTCTTTTCTTTAAAGCCTGCATCAGACTCAACCAGCCAGAATCCTCCACAAAGACCCCGTCTTCGGATGACACAACAGCATCTATAAATCTGCTCCTCTTCCTTTTTCAATGGATTTTTTTACTCTCCTTTATCCCCTTGCTTTTACCCTCCGTTTGGCTCCTTGCCTCCCAGGTACAAACTGTGAAAATGAAGAACTTCGGAGTTGCGCTCTGCCAACATTCCGCAGCATCAAAACTCTTGGAACAAGTTCCATCAGGCCAACAGGTTTCAAGAAGTCCTCAGTAAAATTTGATGCAGACCCCCAGAGGCTATTCCCCCTTTTTGATTCATTTTGAAAGAACCAAAGGATCACTCTTATAATGATAGAAATACAAAACTAATGACTGTTTATGTCAAGCTTCATCAGTTCAGTGCTTGGGTTTTGGTTTGTTTGTTGTCACCTGCAAATTTCAGAATTTGAATAGTCTAATATGGAGTCAGAAAGGGGTCAAAATGTTTGTAAAGAAAAAATAAAAGTTGATATTTAATGTCAAATTTGAACCATATAATGTGAGAAACTAAAAAAGCAAACATAAGTTAATAAGAATTGAATCTAGATTCAGTTTAGTATTCTAATTACAATGTTTGTTTTTTATTGCAGTTTTAGATATATAAAACTGCAATAAATATATATTCAGATTCAAATCACTCTCTGACAGTTAGTTTCTGTATTTAGTTTCAAATTCATCAGGATTTTTGTTTTACTCTTTCAAAGCAGTTTTTTAGACCCCAATCTGAAATATTTTCACAATCTGAACATGAAAAAAACTGATTCGAAAGTGTAAAAAAAAAAAAAAATCCTGAAACTGAAAAAGGAATTTGAAGCTAAAAAAAGAAATATAAATTGAAAGAAAGGGATTTGAATCTGAAAATATAAAACTGCAATTGAAAAGAAGAGTACAAAAAAATTAAAGTGTAATTAAAATGCTAAACTGAAATATGAGTTGTTGTTTTTTTCAAGCTGAGGGTAAGAATTTTGATTCAGTTCTTATTATTTTATGTTTGCTTTTTTTAGTTTCTCAGATTATAAGGTAAAAATAGGAAATTCAATGTCAGCTTATATTTTTTCTGTTTATTCTTTCAGTTCAACTAGGATTTATAAGATTACAAACATTTTGACCCCTTTCTGACTCCATAGACTAAGACCACCATATAAGCTTATAACAGTATATAAGAAACTATATTCCATAGAGAAGAGCCGCAGTGACGACTAAGGCCTCTGTACATGGGCTGCACACTTTTAACATTCCATAGGGAAGACTATAAATGACAAAAAAAATTACTAGAGCATTAAGTTCATGTAAACTTTTTTTTTTTTTTTTTTTTCAAAAATTATTTATAGCCTATTGGAAATGCAATGTCTGTCCACTTTATAGCTAGATCTAGATAGCAATGAGTGAGTACCTTTTTGCCCTCAGAACTGCTTTAATTCTTTTTTTTTTTTTTTTTTTTTTTT